TATGATTTCGTTATCAAATACAAACCTACCTCTGATTTTGGCCATGCTGATGCATTATCGCGCTTAATAAGCAATCATAAGCTTGAAAACGAAGATACTGTTATCGCTTCTATATCAATGGAAGAAGATATAAGCAGAATGTTGTTTAATTCAACACAAATTCTTCCAGTGACAGCTGCTCGAATCGCTGAACACACGCCGCGATCCTATCTTAAGACGATTATCTACATTTATCCAGCGTGGTTGGCCCCCACGTATAACATCTCATGAACTGAAACAGTATTATCAACGACGCCAATCTTTATCCATCGTAAATGACTGTAGTATGGTTGCTGATCGCGTAGTGGTTCCGTATAACTTACGCTCACTCGTCCTGAAACAACTGCATACAGCCCATCCAGGTACTGGAAGAATGAAAGCTATTGCTCGAAGTTATGTATATTGGCCTAATATCGATGAACACATCGAAGATTTCGTGCGTGCGTGCAGAAAATGTGCTGAGGTTTCTAAGTGTCCACGAAAAGCTGAACTACATTCCTGGCCATCTCCAGAAGAACCTTGGTCGCGTATACATGTTGATTTTGCTGGCCCATTCCAGGGTACGTACTTCCTCGTTTGTGTTGATGCTTATTCAAAATGGCCGGAGATTTTTCCTATAAATCAAATCACTTCGCAACAGACTATCATGAAGCTACGGCAGTTATTCTCTCGTTTTGGAGTTCCAGATGTTCTCGTGACAGATAACGGCACTCAGTTTATTTCTCCCATCTTCTCAGTTTTCTGCAAGAGGTTTGGAGTCAAACATGTCCGTTCACCTCCGTACCATCCACAATCGATTGGTCAGGCCGAAAGGTTTGTAGATACTTTCAAAAGAGCGCTACTGAAGGCAAAAGGGGAGGGGAAGATAGAGGAGATTCTTGATGACTTTCTCTTGGTCTATAGAACAACTCCAAACCCATCAACACCAAATCAAATGTCCCCAGCAGAAATTATGTTTGGTAGAAAAGTAAGAACTGCCCTCGATGCCATGAAACCACAGCAAGTAGACATCGGAAAAAGAAACAGGAAGATGGAAAACCAATTTGATCGCCATCATGGGGTAAAACGCAGAATTTTCCAAAGAAATCAAAAAGTATACGTCCGCGATTTCCGATATTCACCTCCACAATGGACCAGTGGACGCATACTTAAGAGACAAGGGAACGTAATGTATGTGGTGGAAGTTGAAGGACAGAAGTGGACACGCCATGTCAACCACATACTGGAAAATGCTGGCACTTCACAGAAAACCGAGAAATTAGACTCAATGTGGAGAATCATTCTGGACAGTTTTGACATAAAATGCTCAGCGACTCGGAAGACCACGCAACCTGAACAAAGTCCTATTAGGAAAGCATCACGGAAACGCAGAAGACCAGATATTCTACAGGTAGACCCAATGAGGAGGACATACGTTTCCGAAGGAAGATATCAATGATGATATCTCAGCACTTACCTGTATATAGTAACTAACCATATATATTTTTTTCTTTTTTTTAAAGGGGGAAGGTGTTATGAACGGGGAATTAAGAAGCCAGACAATTACGAAAGCTATTTTCTTGGGACGTTATTGCATTTCATTCAAAACCTGTAAAACACCTATATTTATTTTTGTCCCTATCTTATTCTACATAACACGAGCTTTCGTTCTATGTATCATTCACTAGCATACCCTTTTTTGTTCCAAAAATATTGTAATTTAAACATTATATTTTGCACTATATTTTCTACCCTAATTCCCTGTTTCGGGCACAACTGTATTTTTCCAAATTATCCTACATCGTGGTCAAGATATGCACTTATTTATTCATGTACATTTTTGTAGTAATCCGAATTCAGAGAATCCAGAGTTTAGTGTTCCAACTGTCTTGTCTTCTTTCACTCGCGTGCTTGCCAACCAATCAGGATTTAGAATAGTTCTCTCTGCCCCGATCGAACTCACGCGTATTAGACTCAAGGTTAAGCCACTCAGCCTAGCGCGTCAAGGTCATAATTTAGATTAGACAGACCAAGGCCAAGTCATAACAAGTATCACGGGGTAAAAGCGATTCAAGGTCATAACAGGGAGACACAACCAAAACAAAGAAGTAAACAACGACAAATTTAAGGTCAATAAGAACCAATCAACGTCGAGGTGCACAGAACAAGCTTTGAGACACATGTGGAGAAATTCAAACACTTCACTTCTATCTGAAGTTTGTGCTGATGATGTCGTTCAGAAGAACGATGAAAGCTTCACGAACAAACCATCCAGCTCAGAGAACAAAACTCCACCAAAATCATCCACCTAAGCTACAAATCTTCTCCACCATCTCAGAAACTTATGTCGCAGAATAAAGTGTACCATTTTAAGAAGAAAAAGACTTTGAAGGTAAATAGAACACACATTACGGAAATCATCAAATTGCACCACAAAGCAAGCGCTAACTTGGAACTCTAATGGGGAACGGAAAATATGGCAATCGAACACACGGTGTTGAGAATTGGAAGCCGATATGAAAAGGATAAGTAGCAACTGGGAACAACTGGAAGGATTTCTCGGGATAGATTTTGATGGCGAATGATAGCAAGTAGACTATGCTCCTCTGAAAATGACAATTGAGCAAGTGACTAAATGATTTTTATTTCTGTATTGAAAGAATTCGGCGACAGTATTCTTGCATCTCCCAGAATCTGCAGTTTTAGTGGTTTGTTAGGGAAAATTTATGTGGTTTAGATGGTGGTTGGAGGTAGTCAACAGGAAACCCTGGACTCGGGTTTCGTGCTACTTGGCACTTGGCACCACCCAGTGATCAATTAATTGTGATTACATCTCAGTCCTACAGGAGGTTAGTCACGGCTCGGATAGCTCAGTGGTAACGTCTCTGACTGTGAAGCTGGGTGACACGAGATCGAATCCGCCAGGGAGCATCAGTTCCCTCGGGATTATAGGTACACCTTGCTGACGAGTGCCAAGTAGCACGAAACCCGGGTCCAGGGTTTCCAGTTGACTACCTCCAACCACCATCTAAATCTCAACACATAGTGCCCGCAGTGTCGAGTCACCTAGACTGGTGGCCACATTGCAACATGATCGATAGCATTCGATCTGCACTAATAAGGACTTGACAAGCATAACATTGATCACCACCCAGTGATCAATCAATTGTGAAAATTTATGTGGTCTGTAGCTGATGTATGTAGACTAAATTCCTAAGGAAAACATTAAAACACTTGTTTACATATACATGCTCACAGAAACACAAATGGCACTCGAATAGTGGGGTTTTGGAAACAGATCATAACAGATAACATTCCATTTCCTAAATATTTTTTAATACAATGTGGTCTTCTTAAGAGAACCGCATATGGAGTTAAAATATGTACTCACTTTCAGTGGTATTCATGTTTGACAACGTTTGTTTCCTATTGGCACTACTGGTAACCCGAGAAGTTTGGTTCACTTAACATTCACCCGTTAGTAAACAGACCTCTAAGAGGTGACCTAATAACTCACAGCGTCCAAAATATCCTCTTGAATACCTACTGAAGATCAGTCACAACACAAAGCTCATCGGCGCCACCCACAAACAGATTATACAACATAGCAGTACGGACTGTACGCACACGTTCTGCTCTTTAAGAGTAGCCGAATACTGGAACTCGCTGCCAGTTGAGCCCGTACAGATGACTTCTCAAGAGTGTGTTACAAAGAAATGTAACATATTCGGAAGGACTACAAACAATGTTCCAGCATAATTTGCCATTATTTTTTTGTCTTGATTGTTAAATACACCTAGGTTTCTATATGTAGGCACCAGTAACACACTACTATCGGATAGTCAGGTCTTGGAAGCGAATGCTACCAAGGCCTGTATGGATAGGCTGTTCTACTTAGGAGTTTTATATGCCAACGCTCGTAGTTTACGAAATAAGTTCTATGAACTAGAAGCACTAGTGGACAGGTTAAAGCCACTCATAGTAGCAGTGACAGAAATTTCGTTAGTCCTTGACTTGGACATTACTCCAGAATTATCCGGAAATCAAGGCACAATCCTATGTCCTCTTCTCTTTTTACTTTATGTAAATGATTTGCCAACTGTAGCAAAATCATCCGTTCTACACTTCGCTGATGACATAGAGATTTGGAGACCCATACATAGTATGTCGGATAGAATAGTATTACAGGACGATCTTAACTTATTGGTGGCATGGTCAGACAGGTGGTCACTAGAAGTAAATCCTAGTAAGAGTGTAGTGATGCAGTTAAATAACTCTGATGAATCGTATGTCTATACACTACGTGGATTCGTGCTACCCAAAGCAAGAAACTATAAAGATTTAGGAGTCATATTAAGCAATGATCTCAAAACGACTAGTCACTGTAAGGCTGCTGCTGCGAAAGGCTATAGGGTATTATGGTCAATTCGTAGGTCTTTTCAGTATTTAGATGATGAAATGTTTGGATTACTATACCCCATTTATGTGCGACCACATTTAGAATACGGGATTCAAGCAGCGTATCCTTGTTTCAAATATGAAGCAGATATGCTAGAAAGAGTCCAACGACGAGCTACTAAGATGGTACAAGGTTTAGCTAGCCTATCTTATGAAGACAGACTGAGACACCTTAACTTATTTCCGTTATCTTACCGTAGAGTACGGGGTGATCTAATATTGGCTTATCGTATACTGAACGATGACCTTGGTATTAACATGTCTTATCTTTTGCTTCCGTCTAAAACCGATCATTTGAGAGGACATTCGAAGAAAGTTCAAAAACCGAGGTCAAACCGTTTACGTCCTGAGATCCGCTTCTCGCACCGAGTAGTGAATTACTGAAATTCTCTACCGGAACAAGTAATATCAGCACCGTCTGTTGATACATTCAAAACGGGATTGGACCTTCACAGAATTACAAACTACAAGGATTAATATAGGTCGACAGACCTCCTATCCTTATTACTGAAGACTGTTTAAGTGGACTAATTGTTACCTTGAGATGATGTGTTTTTCAATCTGGTGAAATTTATTTAACTTGATACTGTGTAAATCATCCGTAACTTCTCGACATCAATATTTTAGTTTCGATTGCCATATTTTCTTGACCTCACGCTTTAATTACTTTTTATTGTCGTGTAATGCTTTTATCATTCGGTGTAAGTGTATATTGTGTGCCCACTGGTTCATCGGCTCGCCTTCTATTGTTCTTTTCTTTTCCAGATCGGCCCACAAACTGCTTCGAACACACCCTTAACACGCAAGCTAAATTCAAGCCACCTACCAAAAACCGATCGTCAAAACCGATAGCGACAGGTAAGTATTCTCTCTGAGGATATATGTAGATCTACATATATTCTTACTGTTTTGTTCGAACAAAACAGTAGTACATAAATTGTAATGCATATTGTTCCAGAAAGTTGATATTGCGATATGCAACTTCAGTAGTTTTTGTTCGCCTGGAGGAAGTGTCAAAAACCCTTTCAAAATGGTCTAAAATGATGAATTCGTCTTCTTACGCGTGTTAGTTTATTAATTTCTACAAGACTGCAATTAATATTTACCTCGTTAATAAATAATTGCAACTACACTCTTATAGAATAATTTATCATTTCTAGGCATTAAATCAAGTTATTCAGTCGTCTTGAAGACAAACGCCCTGGTTATTTTGATTTCTTTATGCTCCTTTTAATTACTCATTTCATCATTCGAAACTATTTTCATATTCACTTGTGGAGTTGTTATTTCATCATGCAATTCTATCACCTAATCAGTCTTATATTGGTACCCTGAAATATAAACATATGTGTGTCAATATACTATCGCAGATTTATTATGACAGTGTAATTGAATGGTAATATTTATTCAATCAATTTGCTTTTTATTAAACAGAAAGTCATCATGGCTTAATTTAAATACAAATATAATTTAACACCACTTCAAAATATAGTGATCTATTAGCCTCCCCTCTGAAAAGGTTACTGAAAAGTAAGTGAACTTGGTTAATTGGTTTCATGGTTGTTGTTCTTGACAGTGGAACATTAGGGTAAATAAATCATTCGAATTTCAAATAAACTTTCTTATTTATTCCTTATTGAGTGGTGCAGGATCTAAGAAAGTTGTTCATATTAAAAACGATCTCATTGTGACGTTTAAATTAGGCAAATTTGAACTTCAGCCTAAAATAGACACCTTGTTGCAATAACATTGGCAGTAAAATCTCCAACATTCTTGACCAAACAATAGAATTTTCATGACAAAACTAGTGGGACAAAACATCGTAAATTGTGTTGAGTAAAATGTCTTTTTCCTTAACGCTTTCTCTGTCTGTTTTTAGTTGAACCATATTCAACTAATCAAATGTAAACCTGACGTACCAATACTCATTCAGTACAGCTCACACATACGATTTTACCTATTATTGTTCTTTTGTTTTTCCTCACTCCTTTTCTCAAACATATGCTTCAATTTCAAATTATTTGAACACTTCTAGTTACGCAATACTAATAATTTCCAATAATTATAAATTCATTGTCCGTTTTCTCAATTCATTCACCTACTTCCTATCATGAAATATTGATTCGAAATTTCATTATTCTTATCACAACTGGTACATCTGTCGTCACACTATCAATTTATACTTCATAATTATCATGTTCATTTGTTTAATTCACTTTTTTGTTATCACTTACTCTTAAACGACCTTGATTGGTTTGATATATCTACATATGGATATAGATATTAAGGTATAATAAGGTGAAACATGATGAAGGTCCAGTTGAAAACAAATTTGTTTGCTTATACATGTTAAATTCACAATATGAAGACTTTTGACTTTCGCGTTTGAAAAACCATACTATGGACAACAATCAATAGACAAATATGGTTTATGGTTTTAAACTTTTATCATTGTGACTTGTACTTACTTACTTGCTTACTTACTTATTCTTGTTACTCCTCTTTGGTGAGCATAGTCTGCTCACCAGCATTCGCCATCGAAATCTGTCCCGAGAAATCCTTCCAGTTGTTCCCAGTTGCTACTTATCCTTTTCATATCGGCTTCCAATTCTCAACACCGTGTGTTCGATTGCCATATTTTCCGTTCCCCATTAGAGTTCCAAGTTAGCGCTTGCTTTTTGGTGCAATTTGATGATTTCCGTAATGTGTGTTCTATCTACCTTCAAAGTCTTTTTCTAATCTTCAGCTGGAAGTTGATTTGTTCTCTCCTACAGTAGATTGTTGCTGACGGTATCTGGTCAACGGGCATTTAGTATCTCGTGTAAACTACTGTTTGTACATACTTATGCCTTTTTGATTATGATTGTAATAGTTCTCCACGTTTCAGCTCCGTACAGTGGAACTGTCTTGACGTTCATGTTGAAGATTCCGATTTTGATATTGGTTGATAGCTGTTTGGATTTCCTTATGTTCTTCAACTGTAAGAATAAGGTTCTTGCTTTGCCAATCCTTGCATTTACGTCGGCATCGGATCCTCCTCGTCCATAGATGATATTGCTACTCGGGTACGTGGAAGATTACACGTTTACCAGAGTTCCTCCACTAAGTGTGATTGTGTTGTTCTCCGTGTTGCGTTTGACGATCTTGGTTTCCCCTTGTGTATGTTGAGGTCTACTGATGCAGAGAATGCTACTACACTGATTGTTTTGACCTGCATTTGTTGGTTTGTGTGGAATAGAAGGGCAAATCATGTGCGGTGTTCAAATCGTCTAGTCGCATGCAATCTGTCTATTGTATTCTGTGCTTTCCGTCAGATATTAAAGTCTTTATAATCCATTCAACCACTCAAATAAAGAGAAAATTTGGGAGCAAGCAACCTTTTGTGACACCTGTCTTCACTTGGAATGCGTCTGTCAACTGCCCTCAATGTATAACTTTGCGGTGTAGTCCGTCGTATGAATTTCGGATGGTGCTGACGATTTTCTGATGTAAACCATAGTATCGAAAAAGGTTATATGGGGTTCTCCTATCCACACTATCAAATGCCTTTTTATAGTCAAGGAAGTTGATTGTTATGCGTAACGAACTAAAAATTGTTTTTAATGAATAAATCACTAAAAATTTGGGCGAGACTATAATATACTAGCGATCCAATCAGATGCAAGATGACAGCTCTCAGACTTTGGCGCAAAATTCACCCATCCGTTTGGCTAAATAGAGTTTTGGCATTATAGCTGAAGTCAGTTCGTGATGAAAACCCTAAACCTAATTCCTAAACTTAACAATCAACTTGAAATAATAATTCTAATTTCCCACGCTGGTTTATAACCCTCATTTGGTCCTAGTTATTAGTAGGTGAACACTCTCAAGGTCACTTGAGCGTCATTCACAGGTCATCCATAAGTTATAGGTTCTCCGAAATTTGAACTTTTTTTAACAGACCTATCACCAGCCTAGGAGTAACTTTTATTCAGTCTGAAGTTCTATCAAGTATTTTCAAATATCTGACTTGTTTAATTATGAGCAACTACTCAATAATTAATGAGAAGACATATAATCTAGGGAGACCGAATGCACAGAAATCTTATTTATTTAAAATGCAACTAGGAAAAACTTGATTTATTCCCATCATTTAATTAGACTTATGAATAGTATCATTGTTAGACAATCTCATGTATTTCTCTATTAGTTCAAAATATCTTGATAATAATAGTAGGAAATCTTGATTAATAAACTTTGAAGTTAAAATTAGTCAGTCATCATTTGATGCACTGCATGCTTTTGTGAATAAAAAGTTTTGATCTTTTAAAGTTATAAGGGTGAAGACATTTAAACAAATCCAATAATTCATATGGCTTGGTCATTTTAATTCATCCACATAACATATTCACTTTCTAATTATATCGTTAACAGTGTTATGAACTTCTATTACTAAGTACATTCTTTATCAGATTACTTTACCATTAAATATATAAGTGATATGCTAGAATGACTTTATTCTAATAATAGTTAACATTTTCTAAATATAGATAAAAATTTATCTATAGTTAAGTATTTTTTGTTAACCCCCATGTTTTAACCTAATTCACAATACTTTACAATCGGTAATTTAACAGTAATTATTTTCAAGTGAAATCATTTTGTATATAACTTTATGAACTTTTTAATTAGTTCCTACCACAAACTGCCACCGTTAGAAAAGGGCAGAGTATAGTTTGAAAAATATCTTGTCTTCATTAACAATTTCTGAACGCTTCATACTCATAATCACATAGGATGTTAAGTTAACAATGCTTGAGTTTTGAAATCTTCACGCTACTTGACTTTCTGGTTTTTAGTGATTTTTCTGATAAGGCACGTTAGTGGTGAAAATTACTTTCGGAATCTTATGTCACTTTTTTTTAAAAAGTAAAATTATATTTTGGGCGCATATACACTCATACATTAGCTTCTGAACAAAAAATATACTTGAGACTTATACTTCCGTTTTAGGGGATTGGGTTACCTTGTATAGTTTCTTAAATACAAATGACTGTATTAATGTTTTTACCGAAGGCTAGAATCACAAGATCTGTAGAGTAGAACGAACCTATTCCTCTCTTCTTTGACTTCTCATAACAAGGTTACAAGTGCAACATAGTTGTTTGAGACTTGAAAGAACATAATCAGAAAAGGAAGAAGATACAGGGTATAACAATAAACATAATATCTAAGCTTAATTTGTATCGATTTGTTGAAGAATAATCACCAAAAGTTCATTTTTGATAAACAACTAGTTAGTTTAAATAATCATTAACATTAATATATTATAAACCAACACAACTATAATTTTCAACTGCATACAATATTCTTCACAACCATATATAGTGTGCTACAAATGAGCTTCGGATATTAAGTTTGTTTACAGATAAATATACTTCTATATAACATGGCAGATTTTGTCATTGAGTTATATGTTCTACTTGATCGAGGATCAAAAGAATACAACTGTGACATTAGCTAAAAAACCTAGAAGACAAATAATATAACTGGTAATCATAATGCTATCCAGTTGATCTACTGTGAAAGACCTGTATTAAGCATTGAAGTTAATGTCGATGTACAAGTATGACTAGAAATGGTTTGTAAATCGAAATGTATGTTTCCACCACTTATGATTCTCGAGATCTTGGAAATAGTGAAATTTAATACTGATTCATTTCCTGTTCACTATTGGATTTCCGTGTTATTGTAATATGTGAATAATTGAACTGCTGTTGTTTATATGAGTTTCTGCAATGTTCTGTCTGTCAGTATTCTAACTTCTCTTTCTTTCACAGTCAATAAAATATTTAAATAGCTCATTTTTTTTACTTATTACATGTAGTCATTTTAATGTTTTCGTAGGTCTCTTTTGTTCAAACTAGTGGAAATTCCTGCTTATCAGATGATTGAGACATCAAATATCACACACAAAACAGTTACAGAATTTGGTTGCGTCCAGAATGACAGTAAAATTGACCGGTACATAAACGATCATTCTTTACGTTTATCAGACGCTCAAAAATGGCTTTTAAAGGTAATCATCATCATGGCTATCACTAATTTTTTTCTAGAAAACAAAAGATGATCCTAAAGCATATTACTTGATATCAAGTCTTGAAATGCAACTTTTATCTAATATGTGCTATGCAATAAATGCCAGAAAGACAATTGATATTGGTAAGTACTTATTTATATCTAATTATATGCATGTATCTTGATGATGTGTATTCATTTAGATAGCTCGATTTTATCTAATGGTAGCTTTTACATTATTTTCGAGGAAAGTATATCCTATCTATTCTCGAAAAACATTTCCTAGAAAATCTCTTTATTGTATTGTTACTATTATTCGATAAGTGATTCATTGTCTTTAAGTGTACTATGTATGCGTATTCTTTGTATACAGATAATATAAAAAACTCAGTGATTTAAAGGTGGAAAGCTTTTCGGGAACAACTAAGGCCATGCATGATAGAACACCTAGTTTCGTTATCGGCTTTTGCGATTAATCTGGGTGTTCGTGGCCAATTATAAAAAGCGAATATTGAATTCGCTATGTAAACGAACTAGCTGTTATCGTTAAAAATACTTCTAATTTGATTAGCAGCATCTTTGATGACACAAAATTCAACTTAATAATAAAACCAGACAAAAAGCCACCATTTTTGCATAAACCAGTCAGTAGGACTAATATGGGAAAACTTAAAACTCAATTGTATTAAAAGTCTGTCTGTTATAACTTATAGCCTGTGTGCCCTGATAACGTATAACGTGATGATACCGCCAATTAGAGAGCAGTGAATTATCGATCGGACCAGTGACGTACAAAACGCGTACGAGATGTCTAGAGTACTTATCGGTCCTGCTTTCTGCCTAGCCCAGACAGTTAAGTCCAGAACACCAATTTCAGCCTCTGCAATATGAATTATGTATTCCAAACATACTGGATTTACTTACCAACCAGACAGACCGCATCGTACCATAAAATAGGAAACAACATTTGTACAAGATTTAGCCAAATGTGGCTGTGGATGGGGTAGGTAGTAATTAATAGACAGGGCATAACTCGAGAATGGTAAATGGTATAATAATAGTTCATAGGTCAAAACAAATCTCATAATAAGAGGAAAATGAATATGAACAGTTTAGTTATTTAACAATCATACGACAAAAATATACGCATAGTATTGGACCGTTAATGGATCCCAAAAGTTACCATTCATTATTCTTATCGGGATAAAAACTGTCCATATTGATGAAATACTCAAATACAGTCACAACAATGACCTAGTGATTCATTAAATCATCTGAACACAAACCTTATTCAGAAGAATGAAGGGATGTTATAGCACAGAGATTACATGAAGAAAGTAAACAAGACACTTAATGGATGTATTCTAGAAAAAATCGTTACTCACAAAAATTTGCCAAGAAATATCTATCAAACAGACTATGGAACACCAAGTCAGCAGCAAAAGTAGGCAAACGGATAACTTTACTCAATATAAAAAATATCTTCAAAATTACAAACGGATTAATAAGGCAACTAGGGTAAGTGTAACCCACAAAATTAAGAATGTTTTGGGATCACTACTGTACATATTAAAAGCACCATGACAGATGAAAAAATGAAAAAACGAAGTCCCACCATCCTCAACGAATACTATAAAGTATCTGCTCTCTTCGTCTTTGCTTTCATGAGCACCAGTTATCCGTTAATAGTGCAAAATCTATCAGTCAATAGGAAAACGGATTAGGAACTGTGATGCAAGAAATCAGATGAGGATGAAAACAATTAGAAAAAACAAACAAATAATGATGACATAGTTATGGATAAGCATTAACCTAATTTCAGATAAACAAAACAGGCGAATAATCAATTCATAAAGAGATTTCAATAACTCCCTTTTCTTTGAAATATCTCTTGACAATGTTTCCAGGAAAGAAAATTGAAGCTTAGTAACTAAATTCTCCATTTCAGAGAACACAACACCTACAATATTTACAATTATCTTCAAAATTAGTGTATATTTGAGATTTAGGTAACATCTTTTGCGTTGGCTATCTTTTAAAAAAGATTAACAGATATAGTTAAACATAAAATGAGTATCGGTATTTATTATCTTTAGAGTCTTGTTCCATCTGAAATACTGTTGCATAATTTTGTGTACATGTAGAATGCTTTAGGTTATATTTTCAAAATATTCACTTTTGTCTTCAAATGAAAAGTGTTATATAATACGGTAAGAAGATGAAATTTGTTCTGAATTTGTGATTCTCATTACATTCCCTACACCAATTCATGGGACTAACTGCTATCAATAATTAAATTAATTCACTTGGTATTGATTGCCTTGTATCTTCCCATTGAAGTTTAAGACTGCAGTTGATCAGTCTGTTATTGGCATATGTGGATACTGTGCATATGCCTAGATATTGCCTTAATTCACAAGCTTTTTGTAAGCAATGGTGGATAGTGGCTGGCAGTGGAATCCAGGACGCTCGTTTCGTCCTATTTAAGACTCGTCGGCTGGATGTACCTGAATCTCAGAGTTGATGTTCACTCTGGGACTCGAACCCAGTACCATTCGCTTCAAACGCCATCGCGTTATACACTGATCTACTGAGTCCTGATAGCCAATTAATTATCAAACCATATAACATTCAGATCTTAACGATCAAATGAGAATTAGCAACAAAAAAATTTTATCGAAAATATAGTTTCGATAGGACAGTGAGAAGACGGAGTTGATCTGAAAAATGTGATGTATTTACGCTATACATTTCGAACAATCTGGTCACTCATATACTTGTCAAGTCATTTTTATATGAAAATTAATAAAGGTCAGTTAAATAAAAGTTCAAGTAAAATAACAAACGGGAGAGAAAGAGTAAGAAATTGTCGCGTTATCCTAAGCCATAGAGTGACTTAAGGATTACCAAGGTAAATCCAAGGTTACGACAAATTGTTTTTGTACATATAAGGGGGCTTTAAATTTATGAATAGCCAAGCCTTCAATAAACCTGGGAATTCGTACTCGACAATTTCTATACAACCTTTTAAAAGCTGTATTAATGTCAATTTTGTGACCCGTTTCAATTATATGTTTCGCTATCGATGAACATGGTTTTTCTACCTCCTACGTCGATCAGATCATTTGACACTAATTGGTTTTGCAGCCATTTAGGCACATGTTCAATGACCACATGATCACATTGTTCGATTATTCCTCCCTGTATATGTGTGTCCATACAAGCATGTCAATTTGTAAATACAATCGGATGTGACATAATCATTTGTGCATTGTCTAGGTCTATTTGGAATCATGGGCTTAGACTTTTCAATCACAACCAATTGAGCAGCATAATAGGTTTTCTTGGTGGCTGCTTTCAACCTCTGTCTTAAAACTATGCTGTTGGATTCACCTCTATATGATAGATGGATATGAACTTTCTTCTTTGGAACAAAATAAACAAGAGTTCTTGGTATTAACTGACTTTAGCAACTATTAATGAACTTTAGTGGATAACCGTTTGCTATTAATGTGTGTCAGTAACTTTTCATCTTTTTCCACTGTGTCAGCAGTGCAAATTCTTTGAGTCCTCTTATAGAGACACTTAATGAAGCTTCGCTTGTATTGCAATGGACAAAAACCTGGGGCGGAAGGCAGTGAATAGAACTTCATAACTTTTAAATCATTTTCTTTTGTCTTAATAAGTTACAAATCTTGATAACCTTAACTTCATAATCACATATTTACTCCTATATTTTATAATAATATAATTCACTGTATTGTATATATTTTTCAAAAAAAATATAGGAGTTTATACTGGATATAGTACATTGTCTATCGCTGAAGTATTACCTTCAGATGGTTGTGTGTTAGCCTTGGAGATAACAGATGCTTATCTAAAAGATTATTGTATACCGGCTTGGAAAATGGCAAATGTTGAGTCAAAAATCGACTTTCGACTTGGTACAGCAACTCAAACACTACGTAAGCATAGTATTAATGTATATAAACTATGTTTTATATGATTTCTCTCTTATATTTTTGATCTAATGATAACTGTGATGAAATTAAATAGAACCAATGTAACTTGTCCATTAATTTTAAAACCATATATATAACACAAATAGTAACACATATTAATGGAGTATTTAGACTGACAGTAAGTAATTTGGATGTTGACTATTGTGATGTGCTTTACTTAACTGATTATATTAGCTATTTCGTCACTTAGTTCATGCAGTAGATGGGTTCTGTACTTGTAAATAAAATAATACTCTCAGCTAGAGGTTTTGTGAAAATTGTAGTAATTTAATAATTGAATTCATCAGTCAATTGAAGCTAGACCACTGTGGAAAACCTGGGAGCACTGGGCGGCCATTTCGTCCTGGTACGGGAATCCTCAGCACTGCGCATCCATTATCCTGCCCCACGAGATTCGAACACAGGACCTACCAGTCTCGTGAGCGAACGCTTAACCTTTAGACCATTGAGCCGGCCGGTAACCGACGGTGTCAATGTCTAACTTCAAGCAATCCACGAAGTTGCGCCACCGTACACCATTGTCTTAACCAAGTTACTATCTCACAACAAACCCGGTTGAACTCCATTGATCACTGCTTCTCAATAAAACTCCGGGAAATGATTATTACTATTTCTCACTAGAACTCCATGAAATAACTCTTGGAATCAGTCACTAGTGAGCATATGTTAGGTCTTGGGTTTGAATCTCGTGCGGCGTGATGGTGAGTGCTAGCTGCTGAGGAGTCCCATACTAGGTTGAAACGGCCGTGCAGTGCTTCCAGGTTTTCCATGGTGTTCTAGCTTTAATTATTAAAAATAATATACGTTCCGTATAAATATTCTAATTGAGAAATTAAAATGAATCTTATTGATCAATGGATAATATTCGCGAAAATTTCAACTTTACATTTATAATCTCATTAACCTGTATATACCATAAATTGCTATTCGATTGAATACATTGACAATATATTGGTGAAGATTTATGAAACCACTTTCCATTGATAACAATCCATTCAATTTTGCATCATTATTTTTAATAAATCATAAAATTTAGTCTTTGAGGTGTTAAATATTCCTTTTTAATAACTTTCTTGTAAGAATCATTCATTAGATATATTACTTAATAAATAATTTATATAAATGTGGAAATAGTCTATCACCAAACGCGAGGTAAAGAGGACTAACCAGCGTAGTTTTCGAACTCACTGAATAAATACGACTTTTATTTAATGTAAATAGGTGATGTTGTGGTGTATGCTACTTATATCGACATAATTAGTATATAACACGAGCCAGGAATATAATTTCTGACAGCAGAAGATTGAGAAGGAAAGAACGGAACAGAAAACGATTGATATGAAAATGATGGGACAGTGAAGTATGAGACGAGTGATTGACATTTGTAAAGTAACAGTCAAGATTAAGACAATTGATCAATCTTTTGCAAATGAAGTATTTATTGTATGGCTCTCAGATTTTAGTAAGGTGTTCTGTAATTATGTGTATAAGTACATCCGTTTGTCCCACTCGTGTTCTTGTTTACTACAGTATCATGAAGAAATCATTACTGTAGTGATAAATTGTCTGAAAGAATATATTCATCAACTGACCAAATACATATTAGTCATTGAAGGAACTGCACTTTCCAGGTTACTTGATAAACTAGTCTGTAAATTATAAATAAATGATTATTTATGAATAAAACAAATAGTCACTGTATTTATTATGTAATGTAATCAAAAATTAAAATTAAATATTATTAATGCATATTAACTAATACAAGTAATGATGAACTTACAGTTATTAAACATTAGCATATTGAAACTCATAATGTTAGGCTCTATTTCTAAGTATCCTTTTAATTGATTGTTGTTTTAAAGTACATATTCGATACAATAATAACAATAAGAATAATCTTCAGAAGTGCGAATCCACGATCCCGCCCCCCTCGGTATTCGAATCCAGGACCTGTCGGTCTCGCGCCAGACGCTTAACCAACTAGACCACTGAGCTGGCATCCAACGGTGTTAATGTCTAACTTCAAGCAATCCACGAAGTTGCGCCACCGTACACCATTGTCTTCAGTGAGTTCCTATCTCACAACAGACCTGGTTGAACTCCACTGGTAACGACTTCTCACTAGAACTCCAGGAGTATCTCCTGAAGTCAGTCACTAGTGAGCAAGTGATTATTATTATCAGGTGTTTTGTGGAGATTTTTAGAAATTTCACTGGTGGATGCGCACTCCTGAGGAGTCCCATACTAGGATGAAACGGCCGTCCAGTGCTTCCAGGTTTTCCATGGTGGTCTAGCTTCAATTGACTCATGATTTCAACCAGTGAAATTTCTAAAAATCTCCACAAAACCCATTCTGATAATAAGAATAATCGTTTTTTTTTCAAAATTATATGTTTAGCATAATATGCAATTCTCAGGTATTATATCTTGTGGCCCTATGCCCTGTTAATATATAACGGCCAATTAGAGAACAGAAACTTATCGACCGGACCAATGACATATATGCCCATATGAGCAGTATAGAGTCTTTGTCGTTCCTTCTTCCTGCCTAGCTCTGCCTGTTGAATCCAGGACACCAATCTCAGCCTTTGCGATATGAATCATGTATTTCAAGGTTTATATACAAACCAAACAAACCACATCGTACCATAAGATAGGAAATAATATTTGTACAAGATCTAGCCAAAAGTGACTGTGAACGTGGGAGACTGTAATTAATTGACTGGGTATAACTCAAGAATTGTAAATCGTATAATAATAATAATCTAGGAGTCAAAATAAGGCTTATAAGAAGAGGGACATAAATATGCCTAATTTAGCTACTTAACAATTATACGGTAAAGATATATGTATCATATTTGTCCATAAATAGTTCTCAAAAGTTACCATTCATAATTCTCGTCGGGATAATCAAAACAGGATACAGTATTTCACTACATTCCCCTTACTTTCATTGACATAATGAAAATATATGTACACATAAGTACATGAAATAAGTAAATTAAACCATGTATAATAAAATGATGTCCTCAGAAGATAAACTAAAAATCTTTGCAACAGAGAATAATCTTCCGGTTCAACAGTATAAGCTTTCGATAATGCAATGAGAAGACGAAGTTCATCAGAATTATGTGATGATAGATTTGCGCAATAAATTTCGAACAATCTGATTACACATAATATACTTGTTAAGAACATTTATATATGAAAATTAAAAGGTCAACTAGACAGGTTAAGGGTAAGTCATAACAAAGGAAAAATAATAAAGTACACAAAAACAAATGTGATTACCAGGGTAGGTTAAGTGTATGGACAAATTGTTTTTGAACACATAAAGAGGGTTTCAATTTCCGTATAGCCAAGACTTCAATAAATCTTAGTATACGTCCTTGAAGGCTTTTATATAACACTACAAATGCTGATTTAATGTCAACCTTATAACCAGTCTCAATCAAATGTTTCGCAATGGCCATATGTTATAACCCGCTCGTTGAGTATTTAGTGTGCTAGATGCGGTTTTGTATAGCATTTATACCTTTGTTTGTATTCTTTTCGAAGATATGGAGATAGAAAGATATGAAAATACTGGATGGTTTGTAATTGATATAATAATACTTATCAATTGATTACAAGTTTTCAAATATCTGTCTACCACTATACTTATATTAATATTGAAAGATTTACCACTTACTCAACAAGCTGTATCTAAATAATGATACTTCTCAACATTAAAAGGTTACACAAATTATAACATGATCATTATAGTGCCTTATCATTTAGTGCATTTATTACATGTAAACCTTGAAAGTAGGTTAGTTTGATAATTGAGAATGTACTTTTATCATCAGTAAATCATATACACTGAAAAATGTCCTGAATAATATAAGAGTAATAGTTACTTATGTTTTTTTTGTTGTATGTTGTAAGTGTAAAAATGTGTAAGTCAGTAACAAATAGAATCAAATAGAACCGTTGGATGCCGGCTCAGTGGTCTAATGGTGAAGTGCTCGCGCGCGAAACCAGTAGGTCCTGGGTTCGAATCCCGCGAGGTGCGGGTTCGTGGATGAGCACTGCTGAGGAGTCCCATACTAGGACGAAACGGCCGTCCACTGCTTCCAGGTTTTCCATGGTGGTCTAGCTTCAATTGACTCATGATTTCAACTTGTGAAATTTCTAAAAAAGATCACAAAGCCCATTCTGATAAGAATCAGCTATGTGCAACGCTTATAAGTTGATCAATAAACTCCTATCTATAGGTTAAAAGTGAAAATATAGCTTAGTGATTAAAATTTAGTACTGAGCTAGTATTTATGGATAGATGTAGTTTAAAATTACAGACGTTTCCAATGTGTTTTTCACCTATTAACTTTGCAATTTGGTTATAATTTAATTTAATTATATTTCTAGAAAATTTGATTGATAATGGACAAAGTGAAACATTCGATTTTGCTCTTATTGATGCTGATAAACAAAATTACAGTAATTATTATGAATTATGCCTTAAACTGATCCGACCTCGTGGTATAATCGCAATTGATAATGTATGTGTCTGTAGATTTTTCCTTCATTATATGAATAACCTTTAATTTTATCTGGTTTAAATATAGGTTAATTGTTTTTTATATGAAGACATTAGTAAACAGATATGAAAAGTACTTAATGAATGATAGTTATACTATTCTACTTAACTTTTCAGTATTGTTTAACTGTACATACTTTTCATTTTGTATTGTTTGTTCAAATCTTCCCATTGATGTTTAAGATTGTAGTCGATCAGTCTCTTATTGCTATATGTGCATCCTGTACGGAATGCCTCGATATTGCCTTAAGTCACAAGCATTATAAGCAAAGATGGATGGTGGCTAGTAGTGAAATCCAGGACGCGCATACCATCCAATTTGGAACTGATCAATTGCAGGCCTGAACGTTAATAGGAAGATTTAAACAAACAATACGAAATGAATTTATACTTCACCTCATTATACAAGCTAATGGCTATCAGGACTCATTAGCTAAGTGGATAATACAATGTCATTTGAGGCGAGCGGCACTGGGTTCGAGTCCCAGAGTGAACATCAACCCTAGGATACAGGTAACTTCAGCTGACGAGTCCAAAATGGGACGAAACACTCGTTCTGGGTTACACTGTTAGCCCCCACTCATTTTTGCTTATATTGTACATACTTTTATTTCATATGGTCAACTATAAAGTTGAAGAATATCATGAATATATTGTCTGTCATAAAACTCAAATGAAAGTTTCCCATGAAATCGGTTACATATTCGCCAGCGATGTTAGTTATAATTATTGCATTATTTCATGGACAAATGTTTTCGCTCCTTCAGTTCAAAGGTTAAAGAAATGTTCTATCATTAGTAGTAGTTATAATAGCTATAGTATATATATTTCACTAGAGGAAATACATAAACATTTTAATCACAGAAGGGTTTTTGTGGACATTATAGTAACTTAATAGTTGAATTCATGAGTCAATTGAAGCTAGACCTTCATGGAAAACCTAGAAGCACTGGACGTTCTATTGTGAGACTCCTCAGCAGTGCGCGTCCAAGATCCCACCTCGTGAGATTCGAACCCAGGACCTAGCAGTCTCATGCACGAGCGCTTAACCACTAGATTACTGAGTCCCATACTAGGATTAAACGGCCATCCAGTGCTTCCAGGTTTTCCATAGTGGCCTAGCTTCAATTGGCTCATGAATTCAACTATTCAATAAATATTTGTTTACCTTTGAAAAATCTGAAAACTTTCTTTTAAGAAATTTATCAAATTGTACATGATATTATTTTTTTAAATAGATGTTATCAAAGTTTATTTTTATCATTATTATTGCGGTAAACAATTCAATGTAAAGTAGTAGAATGAAAATATTGACATTTTATCATTTTATTTACGTTTTTTGTCGTTGTTGTTGTTGTCGTCGTCATTGTTGTTGTTGTCAATACAATATCACACAAAACAATGGCACATGAATGATCAAATTTAGTTGTCTTTTTAAAAAAATATTATTCAAGTTATGAAATGTATATTCTTTTTGTTAAATTACATTATTGTGTATTGAATGAATAGTCAGCTTATCATATTGTTCATTGTTTAATACATATAAGTATTTGACGAGACTATGGATGAACCAATCACGTATAAGATAACAGATCTCGAATTTTGGAGCGAAATTCATTCATCCATTTGATTAAATAGAGTTATGGTAGTATAGCTGATGTTAGTTCGTGATGAAAAACTTTAAATTTAATTCCTAACCTTAACCATCAACTGTAAATTATAATTATAATTCTTCACACTAATTTATAACCGTCATTTGGTCCTAGTTAACAGGTAGACAATCTCAAGATCACATTAACGCCTTTCAAAGGTCGTCCATACATTATAGTCTTACTAAGTATTTCACATATTATAATAACTTATATTTAATCTGAGAACATATAAACGCAAATATCTAGAACAGTATCATTATGATGTTTTTTGAAAAAATGTGATTTTATGAACACAGATAATAATGAGCACTTATGACATTTTACTCGGTCAGGAATGAAGTTTTTTGTTCTATTAAAAATTGACGGAATATAGGAAAGCAAACTATTATTTTCAGACTAGTAGTCTAAATGTCTCTCCATGGTTGTAAGGCATGGAACGCCTGCCCTGATCTTATATGACCTCGTGGGATGAGCCGTACTAAGGAATCCGGATCTGGAGTGTAGTAACTGTTCAGTACTACTTTTTTCAATCCCTATCCGATCTAAGTGAGTTAGTAAGAATAGCATTTAAAATGCATAATACTTCCTTACTTACTTACTCCTGTTACTCCTCGTGGAGGAGTACAGGCCACCTAACAGCACTTTCCATCCAACCCTGTCCTAAGCAATCCCTTCCAGCTTTTCCCAGTTCTTATTCATCCTTTTCATATCTGCTTCTACTTCTTGACATAATGTATTCTTTGGCCTTCCTCTTTTCCGCTTCCTTTCAGGATTCCAAGTTAGGGCTTATCTCGTGATACAGTTTGGTGATTTCCGTAATGTATATTCTACCCACTTTGAATGTCTTTTCCTAATTTCCTCTTCAACTGGAAACTGGTTTGTTCTCTCCCACAGTAGGCTGTTGCTGATGGTATCCGGTCAATGGATGTTGAATATCTTGCGTAGACAACTAATTATAAATACTTGTACCTTCTTAATGATGGTTGTAGTAGCTCTCCAAGTTTTAACTCCGTACAGTTGAACTATCTTGACGCTCGTATTGAAGATTATGACTCTAATAGTGGTTGAAAGACAATTGTTTTGAGTTCAATTTGTTCTTGGATTGTAGGAATGTGACCCTTGCTTTGCCAATCCTCGCCTTTACATTTGCATCTGATCCTTCTTGGTCATCGATGATTCTTCCCTGGTACATGAAATATTCCACCTCTTCCAGAGTTTCGCTATCAAGTGTGATTGGGTTGGTAAAATGCACAATAATATTGACGGAATCACCTGCGCAAATAATACACAAGTTTTTTGTTTTAATTTCTTCCCAAGGTCATTTGGTCGGGACTTGTGGTCGATGAGACTGATCAAACCTCCGAAACTGTTGGTATAAGGGAAGTGAACGACTTGATAGCTGGAGATAATCGTGTACGAATCTCTTTGCTAAATCTTGGAGATGGGTTAACAATCGTTGTGAAAAAATGATCTTTGGGATACATATTCTACAAACATACACATGTATTTGTAACTAAATGCATATTGATACATAAACGTGGATATCGATTTAAGTTGGCATTCATATTTTTTTTTGGTATAATCAACATTACGTAACCATATTTTTATTTGTCGAAATGTTATTTCATTTTCCAATATTAATGATATTGTGATAAATTCTTTCCATTGAACTCTTCAACGCAATATGAGAAAAAAACGTGAAACAATATAGCTTGATCAATACTAATGATACTGAAGTACTAATTCTCAATAACGGGATATCGCTGAATCTTAAAAAATAAGATAAGTCTCCATACATTATCGAGTAAAATTGGTGTGACCATAATTTAGAGATGATTCAACAACAATATTAAAATGACTTAATGATTTTAAAGCTAGTTTTTAGCCACTGAGCAAAAATTCTGTGTAAATGATAAGTATTTCGAGATAGAGTCGGTAAAACTTTATTATTAGTTTTTCAGAACTCATTAACAACTTACACATTCAATACTCATTCAATGAATCATGACGCAGAAAATAATGGCCAATTGGCCTTTTTAAACATGCTTTTAAGTCGAAGGGAGAATGATACTATAAGACGGTCAGTCTATAGGAAACCAACTTGGACGGGACAATACTTAAATTTCCATAGATTCTGTCCATTGCAATACAAGCGAAGCTTCATTAAGAGTCTCTTTAAGAAGACTCAAAGAATTTGCACTGCTGACACGGTTGAAAAAGATGAAAAGTTACTGATTGACACATTAATAGCAAACGGTTATCCACTAAAGTTCATTAATAGGTGCAAAAGTCAGTTAATACCAAGATCTCTTGTTTATTTAGTTCCAAAGAAGAAAGTTCATATCCATCTATCATATAGAGGTGAATCCAACAGCATCGTTTTAAGACAGGTTGAAAGCAGCCACCAAGAAAACCTATTATGCTGCTCAATTGGTTGTGATTGAAAGGTCTAAGCCCATGATTCCAAATAGACCTAGACAATGCACAAATTATTACGTCACATCCCATTGTATTTACAAATTAACATGCTTGTATGGACACACATATACAGGGAGGAGTAATCGAACAATGTGATCAAGGGTCATTGAACATGTGCCTAAATGGCTTCGAAACCAATTAGTGTCAAACGATCTTATCGACGTAGGAGGTAGAAAACCGTGTTCATCGACAGTGAAACATATAATCGAAACAGGGCACAAAATTAACATCAATACAACTTTTAAAACATTGTATAGGAATTGTCAAGTACGAATTCCCAGGTTTATTGAAGGCTTGGCTATTCATAAATTTAAAGCCCCCTTATATGTACAAAAACAATTTGTCGTAACCTTGGATTTACCTTGGTAATCCTTAAGTCACTTTATGGCTTAGGATAACGCGACAATTTCTTAGTCCATCTCCTTCGTTTGTTATTTTACTTGAACTTTCATTTAATTGACCTTTATTAATTTTCATATAAAAATGCCCTTTAAATTCAATAATTCACCAGCTAGCCTATAATCAATGTGTCACTGATTAGATGATTCATTCAACAGTTTACTGAAAACAAAATTATTCAAGCAAACATTCCCTTAATTACACACTATGTACAACCTACATTAAGAAGATTTAAGTATTTGACACTTGCATTTTCATTCAATGATGATGAACATAATTTTTTTTATGATTCTCAATGTTCTCAATATAGTACAATAGTATTTATACAGTTCTTTTGATATAGTGGAAAATAAAACGTTCATTTTTAAATATCCTTCAAACAACTGGAAATTGTTTTTCCAACCCAAGCTAGTCCTTAATATCATAGTTTTGCGATCTAGTTTATCAACAATTAGTCATAAACCGTCCAATTTGTTTCTGCTTGAATTGAATACTTCACATAAATATTCCTAATCACAGGAAATATCTGTAATGTCATAAAAACTTTTGAAAATCAAACTCGTAAGTGTCAACACTTCAACAGTTTTTTTCTGCAATACAACGAAGCTTTTGATCAAAATATTGTCTTTTGGCATGTTTCTTCTGATAATATTGACAATTTTGTTAAATATATGAATTGTTTCAAATAAATAAGTAATTGATGTTATACAAACCAAGCATTAAGTAAATGACAAATAGTAGCAGCCTCGACTATTTGAAGCGGCAAATAAATCTGTTGTGCATGCGGAGGAATAGACCAATAATTATCATGTAAAGTCCAATGGTGTCCTTGGACTTTCAATGGACATTTCCTATTGGTCGATATCTGTTCACTTGTTGAGTATTGTACAAAATGTTTTCTATTTTTATGGTACGATGTGGTATGCTTGGTTAGTATATAAATAGAGTATGTTTGAAATACAATGATTCATATCTCCGAGGCTGTGACTTGTGTTCTGGACTCAACTAACTGGGCTAGACAGGGAAGTGGGACCAATCGAGTCTCTAGGCCGTCCGTACGTGTTTACGTGTCACTGTAATCGATCGATAAGTACGCTGCTCTCTAATTTTCTAGTCAAGGACACAACAATTAGCACAGGGTAAAAATATACCGCAACTTAAAGCCATAACAAAATCCTCTTTAAGTCTTCGACATTAGACTGTAGTTACCTACTTTTATCAAGAGAACGCGATTGGTTTGATGGAAATAATTATTATTATAACCAATTGTACCAGTGATTGTTTTACTGTGTTTGTTTGTTTAACTGTACTGGAGACATACTTTCTTCTGTTGATTTTGACCTTGCTCGTATTCGGTTACGCTCAGTAACCACACTTGTAACCTGGCACAATCTCGGTATTCTTTCGGTACCAGGAGATCGCCAGCAAATATATCTCGACTATAGCCATCAACTGCCTTCTGATATTTGGCTTACGGGGATTTTATCGGTTAACTGGTACGTAGTCTTCCCGTAGCGTGATCATAGTCAACCGCGACTCGACGCCACACTACAAGGTGCTGACCTAACTGAAGGCGCTCGGTCATGCATCCGCACCAAATCACAAGTGGGAACGCCGTGCTCAGTATATCCTGCAATCATTAGCCAGCGTAGATCAATAGATTCTCGATATATCGATAGCCTATCAAATATATTTTCGAACCTCCTGAACCCTGACTTTTGATTTCACTTGGTGGGTACGATTCATAGTAGGTGTTACTGATTTAAGCGTTGTCAAACTAAAAATACCTGTGGCATCTTCAAACTGAATTGATTCTAACAGATGGCTGTTAGGGTATAGTAAATTATCCTGAAAGTTTGTCATCTTGATCACTAACCCTTATTTGAGATTCTCTGTATTTACATTGGGACTGAGACACAAATCGGTGTCTTCCGCTTTTTAACAAATTTTTCGGTTGTTTTTATTAAAATCTTAGATACACCAGACCGCAGTATGCAAGGTTCGGTGTTCTTTATAGGTGCAAATGAATTTAAGTTGTGGAACCATTAGTACTTGTTCGTTCTTACCAAAGTGATTTATTTTAGAAACCTATTGGTCCGTTTTTGACTGGTTCATTTTCGTCATGTGTTGTTTCTCACTGCACACTTTCATCGTAGTTAAAGTATAAAACTGTAGAAGCATACCAATTAAAAATATCAGTATTGTTTATGGTTGTCATTAACATATGGACGTTTGTTCGTTATGCACTTGATCAATATAAATATTGCTTTGTGCTGATAGTTGTGGCTCGTAACTGTTAGCGAGTCCATAGCCTGTACAGCCAGTTGTCTGTTTTTTCCTTAGTGGTTGGTGTCTAAGTTCGAGAATAGAGTTTCAAGGTAGATCGTTGTCCATCTGTACATCAAACACAACAAGGGGTATTTTTTGAGCAAATGAATTTGGCAATTCTGTGGATATAAGTGAGCAGTCAACAATGTACAGGAAAGAAAGAAATCAGCTCACCAAAAGTACAATTCAAGAGCTGAATTGACTGTCGGCTAAGGTACACATATCTTACCCTATTAAAGTCCGATCGTGTACATGTTGCGTATTTCAGCTTTTATTTTACTGTTATTTAAAGGTGTATCCGGATGTTTCCTTCGAATGATTTGCATCTGCATGTATTTAAAATAATGATATATTTTTGGGGCTGTTGGTTTGTCTAGACTTATCAAACGTCATGTAGTAGCACTTGTTATGTGGAAAATTCTAGGAACTCCAATATCCTTGTAATGGGGAATGATTCAGTGGCGTACTTTACTTTAGGGACACAAAAATACGATGACAAACAACATTTCGTGTACAGAACCGTAAAATCCGTACAAAAATGAGATGGGTGGGATATTAGACAACTTCTATGTTATTTACAATAACTAGTTACGATAATACTTTGTACTATTAATCGTCAAATAATAGAAGTGGCCCTAGTAACACAGATATAGTGCTTTTTCGAAAAATGATAGAAACGTAACGAGTCGGTGCTTTGCATATGTGATTAGTTAGCAGTCCGAAACTACAAACCCTAGTAATAGATCCAGTCAGTTAAATGAAAACAGAACTAATCATGAATACATTACTCGATTAAGAGCCCCTAGAAATCAACAATGTTAGTCAGCACAAAATCGGAGCAGTAATCGAAAATCACAACGACATCGGAAGGCTTAGATTGCACTGAAGATGAACAATGCTAATCCCGTGTTATCCGAAAGGGAAATGAAAAATGTAAATGAGGGTGCAAGAGACATTTTGCGTTTACATTTTTAGATGTGTGTGGAAATCCCCGTGGCCGCACTCAACATAGAGTCATTTCTCCATTTCCTTTCCTTATTTATATATATTGCGTTCAAATATATTGATTTGTTTGCAGTCATCATGTTGTTGTAGTGCTTGCAGATTCTACGGTAGATTAACTACCTTATGTCTTTGAGTTTTTAAAGGTGTTTCATGTTTATTTTTTCAACGTTGTCTTTTAACAGTTGATATATTGTGTGACTGTATTTCGGTTATTCTTATGTGAAGTGATAATTTTTATCCCATTCCACTAAGACTGAAACGTGTTTCCTATTTGTTGGGAACATTTGATGGTAATACCCGGCATTCAATTGTATTATTCAACCTACATACCTATTATCTTTGTGTGGAATGTTTCATGGATGACCGAAATATTTTTCCTATTATGACAACTGAGTTCTATCAAGTCATGTTATAACTGTTGCATGTGTCTGTGAAAAAATGTACAG